CTCTCTCTCTCTCTCTCTCTCTCTCTCTCTCTCTCTCTCTCTCTCTCTCTCTCTCTCTCTCTCTCTCTCTGTATTGAAGTCTAAGTTGGTGTGAGCAGGGGTAGAAGAGGTGGAGCTAGACATGAATGAGAATCAAGTGAGAGTGAAGGGTATAGTGGACCCTCAGGCACTTTGTTTGAGAATTCAGAGGAAGACAAAGAGAAGAGTGAGACTTTTGTCTCCACTCCCCAAACCTGAGGAAAATAACTCAGCACCTGAAGTCATCACCTCAAAGGTTTGCTTTCCATAATAGCAGAAAGAGAAATGTGTACTTTCTTTTGTTAGTAGTAAGCAATTCATGAGAATTATACTATGTTCCTACAGAAGCATGCTAGACATGTACTCCCATGGTTAGAAAACCTGCTCGGGACTTTTTTCTTATGTATTTGAAGCTTTGCACATCACCAAATAGTTACTAGATGATTATTTTAAAAAAAAAAAATTTGAATTCTGTGTTTTCTAGCCCTATCTCAGCCGTGCAATTTTGAAGATTATGTTAACTGAACTTAGTCTCTAGATTGAACAGGTTACATTCCCAAAACCAGAGTTACTAAAATTACTCCTACAATGGATTCTATCCGAGGGAGTAAATGGAAAGTTTACTCCCACAGGACTATGAAATCTTTTTGCTTAATATAATCGTTATCCGTCACTAATATATATTTTACTGTTTTGGATATAATACAGGTGAGTAGGATGACGACTGTGGAGTTAAATGTGAACATGCACTGCGAAGCATGCTCTCAGCAACTGAAGAAGAAGATACTCAAGATGAGAGGTAATTCATAATTTAATGAAAACATAGATATAGGTATTTCAGCTAACTTATTTTCCTTACTTTTTTTATTCCATACTTAATTGAAATTCAATGCTATTTAATTGGAATTCCATGATATTTTTGCGTAAATGACTAACTTATTCTTTGTTTTTTACAAAAGAAGCATAGCTTGGGAAGGGGTTAGGGTCGTAGTGGTATCCCCTGACCTTCTAGTCACAACGTCACTACGTTGTGGTTTCCATTCCCATCGCTACACTAATATCTTCAAAAAGCTAACTCCTAATCTATTTGAAAAACGGGTAGAGCTCGTCTTCTCCACTTCATTATCCAAAAAAGCAAAAAAAAGGTGCTTTGCCACTACAAGTCTACAACCCCATGAAATTGGCCAAACTTCTCTAACAGGCCCTGCTTTTCCCAAAAAGGCCAGATTAGAATCAAAGAGAGAGTGTGTTTAGCGTTGTACTAAAACTTAGGTCTTCTCTGTGCAGGGGTACAGACAGTTGAGACCGACCTAGAGAGTGGTAAAGTGACAGTGATCGGCACCATGAACGCCGAAAGGCTCGTGGAGTACGTTTATAGACGCACGAAAAAACTAGCAAGCATTGTCCCTCAACCCCCAAAAGAAGAAGAAAAGAAAGAAGAAACACCGGCAGCACCACCACCACCGCCACAGCCATCAGACCAAGAAGAGAAAAAGGAAGAAAATGGGGAAAAAAAGGAGGTTGGAAAACCAGAAAATGGTGATAATAAAGAAAAAGAGAGCGATAAAAATGAGAATAGTAATGAGAAAAATGGCGATGAAAAGAAGGCCGAAGAAGGGGAAAAGAACGAAGCAGAGGGAAATAATAATAATAATAATAATAATGAAGATGGGGCTAAGAAGATGGTGGTGTGGCCCCCACTTTACGTTATGGAGCACGTGCCAGCCCCACAGATTTTCAGTGACGAAAACCCTAATGCTTGTTGTATTACGTAAACCCATTATATAATAAAGTTAAGTATCATGGATGCCTGTACCATGCAAGTTGTAGTGCCATATTAATACGATGATAATAGTTTAAAATGTTTGCCTCGGATCGTGATGTTGATTTATTTGTTTATGTAAGTTACCGCGGTAAATCAAATAAAAAAAGTTTATATAATGTGTCAGCCTCGTGCTATTGAAGTAAGACATACCTTTAAAATCCATAAACAAAAAAAAGAGGTTGTTTCAATATTAAAGATAAAAGCCTCATATTGATCATCGCGACCTTCAGATACAAAGAAAAAGAGATTTGAAGTTATAATAATAAAGAAAATTGTTTTATGCCGGCTGGACCACATAACAGTATACGCGGTCCAAAAAGAGTAAAGCATCTATCTTAAAGATGATTGCAAGTAGGTGTTCCATCTAAAAACAATAGAAACTAGTCATCCAAATGTTTTTTTACTATAATTATTATTTCTAATTTTTTAAATTTACTTATTTTTTCATATTCATGATCTCCATGTTAGAGATTACGTGTCTTTGAAAATTAAGTCCAAAAATCAATCTCAAAACTAGATTTATTAATAAGCCCGCATTTCTATTTATGCGGGCTTGACCGCATAGAAACTGGGTTCTAATAATAATGCATCTTGGAATGCACTATATCATTCATTTTTTAAAATTTTAATTATTTATAAATTAATTCTATTGTACCAATTTAGAGCTTTAGATTTCCATACAATTGCAGGGCTTACAGTTTCATAATTTCGAGGTACACCTTACTTTAATTATTTAAGGTTGATGCTTTATACAAACCTCACCCAAATTAATTTATTTTCTAAAACCCTTACTTTCCAACAATAAACGAACCTTCCTTAAATGAGAGTACGCAGTTTGTCCCTCGAATCTTGGGAGAGAGTAGTTTAGAGAAGAAAAAGGTTTACATAAGGTTGCAATAGTAAACTGTAAAATTAAGATGCACAAAAAAAATTCATGAGAAATGGCCGTTTTGATGCTAGAAAATCCTTTAATTAATTTTTTGGACATGAAGATGTATAGAAATAAATTTATAAAAAATGTTGAGTCTCAAAAATATAGTATATCGCAAGCAATACATTATCTAGACCCTTTATTTTCAAGATTTTTATATATTTATAGATCTACTTGATTTCGACCATGTTTAAAGTTAGAATTTTATAAATAGAAATCAAAATAAATTTTTAGATTATTCAATAAAATTTTGACACCAAAATTACATTTTAAAACAAAATTTGGAGGTGCACCTTTGTTTAAGATTGCCTTGTTATATAAACCACACCCTAAACAAGATAAGCTGTCGTGCTTATCAAATACTAAATACTTAGATATTTTTTATGCCAAAAACTTTATCACTTTTAAAACCAGGTGTCATTCCTCCATTTGTGATTCGGTTTCACATATTGGAGGTCTCATTAGGGTTTGAATGAGATTAAGAATTGCGGAGTGAGGACGTAAGATGGGGCCCTGAGTGGATGCAGGGCATCTCCACATCCACACTTTGGATGGCGTGGCCTTCACGTGGTGGACCTGCGCCTGACTAGGAAAAAGCGTGGCTTTACCAGACATAAAAAGTGGATGGTGTGGCAGCCTATCTGCCGTCCGCCTTTTGTCGCACTATCCGTCACACCGCCCCACCCAGACCGTCCGATTCTCCTTCACTGCTGGCGCCGACGTGGCGTTCACCAATTAATTCTACACGTGTCTTCGTCAGAGATTCCATGGCGTGGCGTGGGGTGGGGTGATGGGCCGTTCTCGGTCTAAAAATGCATTTTCTCCAAGTGACAGGCAGCCGCCCCCTAGGGCTAAAACTACATATTTCACCGCAATCTGCTTATGATCTCAAGGGTGAGGCCCACCTTGTACTATAGAAGTAAAGTGCACATATACATTTCGTCAAAGGTATACTTCTGATTTCAATAATCTCTTAAAAATTTATATTTAATTTTAATTATAAAATTTTAAATTTTAAAAAAATATAAATCAAGCAAATCTATAAACACTTGAAAATCTAAAAAATAGAGACATTATTTTTATAATTTTAATTTTTTTCTTTATATTTATGTTTAAAATAATGAGGGGGATGGAGCAAATATCTCTATATAATAAAACCCCTCCAAATTAAGAGAAAAAATGTTCAACACCCTCATCTTTTTCATTTTTCAAATTACAATATTTATCATTTTTTCTAATGACTGCATCATCCAAATAAAATTTAAAATGTTATTTTTAACTTACTTGCGATGTTGACAAGATGAGAGAGGGACGAACATTGAAGAGAGGTTGAGAGAGGGAGGGAGGGAAGGAAGAAGGGATTCAAGGGTGATGAAGAGAGATATGTGGAAGCTTTTATAAGGTTGGGATGACAAAGGTCATTAAGTAAAAAATGGGATAAATATTGCCATTTGGATTATTAAAAAAAAATACGAAAAAGGTTAAAAGTCATTATAAACTTGGAGAGAATATATAGGCTTTCTGAGTTTGACTTCAGCTGATGAGAAAAACAATTCTAATGACTTTTTCTTTTGTATTTTTTTTTTTTGAGGCAGTCTCCTTGTTGCTTGCCTAAAGAAATTTACATTTGGGCTTTTAGACTTAAGCTTTTAAGCTTCCAAAGAAAACTCGGTAGGGCACACGTCCCTACGAAAAAGCGTAAAATAGGTGAATGGCATGATTAGCAAGTTAACGGCACTTGCATTCATAATTCGAGGATGATGTTCTACCAGGGTACTTAACCCTTGCATATTACTGTCTTCGTGACTAGCTTTGAGATTCAGCAAGTCATGAAAAATAATATAGAGACCCTCAACATATGTCCATTAACGGCTATCAAGAAATTAGGCATAAGCCAACTTCTTTTGGATTGTTGCAGCTTATCATCGCTCATGCAGAAAAAGGTTCGAGATTAGTCCATTAACTCATATGAACATATGTATTTAGATGAGCCTAACGGCCCAGATTCATATGTTTATATAAGTCCAATAATATGGGACGATTTGACGATCACGATATCATTTTGTATTTGAATTTTAATTGTTTTTTTATGAATCTAAATAATTTGAAATTTTAGGCGTATATTCTTAAAAAATAGAAGAATCTAATAAAAATATCAAAAAATAATAATTTGTAAGAAATAAATTGACCAAAATACCCCTTAAAATATTTTTATTAGGTGCGTCTTGATGAGACGAATACACGTTTAAGCTTTCAAATTATTTGGATTGGTAAAAAAAAAATTAAAATTAAAATATGAGCTAGTGGGCTAATCTCAACATTATATATATATATATATATATATATATATATATATATATATA